ACTAATATATTAGAAATCTATAAATTTAAAAGCCAGTACATAATTAATTACTAAAAGATTTATATTGATGTCTTCAATGGAAATTTTATTATAAAATTTGTAGAATATTTATTTATTTATAGTACAATTTTCATGAAGCGAATTTTGCAACTATAGTCTCCAAACATTAACTCTTAGGTCATTTTCAATGCATGCACAAAATTTGGGATCAGTTTTGTACCATTTGATGCAAATATTGCTCCAAATTGAATATTATCTTCAATCTAAAACACTAAGGTAGTATTTGATTGGATCATTTTCCATGGAAAATAGAATAAGTTTTCCATCTTTTACTCAATTAATGGTATTTAATACCATTTATTTTCCATGGAATTCGTTTTCTTACTTCTGTTGCCACATAGATATTTTCCATCTAATTATGGTGAGAATTCATTTTTTCGGTTACTGTAGCAATTTTTAATTTTTTTAATTTTTTAGTTGACAATGGAAACAAATTTTAAGAATTACTGTAAAAAAAATTTCCCTTTAATTGACAATTTTCATGTAAAACAAAGTCAAACGAACACCAAAAGATAAATGATTTTCTTGGGTTTTTTTTTTTTTGCAATGGAAACAAATTCTATCATTAATACTAGTAAATTTTATCCCTTTAATTGATAATTTTCATGTAAAACAAAATCAAACGAACACTAAAAAACACTTTTATTTTAATATTTTTCACGTGAAAAATTATACCAATCAAACACAATAAATTGACAATTCCCAAGAAAATAATTTTTAGGCAATTCAATTCCCTAGAATTCATTTTCCTTCCAAATTTATTCATCTCAAAATTATTTAATTGTTTATTTTATTACTACATGAATTATTAAATAAATAATTACTTAAAGAAAATATTGAATTCATTAATAAATTTGAAAAATAGTATGCTCAATACAAAAACCACAATTAAGATGATTATGATAACAATAATAATGAATTAAGAATTAAAATTTGTATAATAAAAAAGGGAATAAAAAACTGCTCAATATCAAAATAAAAGGTGAAATGGTCCAAAGTATGATTCGTAGTTGGAGAGGGTTTGCACCATTTGTTTCATGTAAAATGGTACTTTGGGATAGCATTGGAGATGCCTTTGGAGCACTTTGGTCTCCAATCAAATTTTCTTGATTTTTAGATTTTCAAAATTGCAGCTGCAAATTTCTTTTTAATAAATTTATAGGTAATTGGCATAAAATGTCTCTACCTTTAAGGTTTATTGTGGAAAATGTCCCCACATTTCATTTTTTAGTATTTTTGCCTTTATTTCCATCTTTCTTTGCGGAAAAGGTCATTTTCATCTTTTTTTAATATAAAATGACTAAAATATCCTCCCATTTAAATAAAATCCAAAAAAAGAAAAGAAAAATAAAGAATAAATTACAATCTTATTCCTAAATATTTTAAAAAGTGCAAGTAAGTCCAAATAATTATTAAAAGACCCAATAGCACAAAATGTCCCTACGTTTGGTCTATAGTGTGAAAAACGTCCCTACATTTTAAATTGGTGAAATGGACGTTTTCCGCAATGAAACGTGAAAATAGGGATGAAAACGTAGAAAAAAATTGAAACGTAGGGATATTTTTCACAAGAAGTGTCAAACGTAGAGATTTTTTTGCTATTAGGCCTTATTAAAATATTTAAAAAAAAAACCATCTCTCTTTTCTCTTCTTCTTCAAATGGGACTGCCACATTAAAAGTGAAAAAATTTCAACTAACCATCACCCAAACCGTCGAACCTCCATACCGCTGAACCATCTGTTGATATTTTAAGACCATAAAGAGAAGCGCCCTAGTAAGTATAGTCGATTGGTGTGTTGAAAATGGCATGGGTCTCTCCGAAATAGGTGATGCCGACAGTACTTACATTTGCGAGTTGGGTATTTTAGCTTACAATTCCTAAAAAATCTATTAGCATGAAAGTTTAAAGATTGGATGTTGGGTAGTATGTGTAGAAGGAAGTGAGAGCTTTTCGGTGGTATGGTAATCCATCAATTCGGATGGCAGTTTGCTGGAGTTTTTTTGGTTTTTCAGGTGGTTGGCCCATTTGGAGAAGAGAGAGGGGAGGAGAGAGGAAGAGGGAGAGAAAGAGAGTTTTTGTTATTTTTAATATTTTAATAAGGCCTTATAGCAAAAAAATTCAAACATTTGACACTTCTTGCAGAAAAACGTACCAACTTTTCATTTTTTTTGCGTTTTCATCCATATTTTCATGTTTCATTGCGAAAAACATCCCTTTTCACCAATTTGAAACATAGGGATGTTTTTCACACTATACACCAAGCGTATGGACGTTTTGTGCTAATTTATTCTTTATTTTTCTTTTCTTTATTTTTGGGTTTTATTTAAATAGGAGGGTATTTTGGTCATTTTACATTAAAAATGGTGAAAAGGATTTTTTCCCAAAGAAATGTAGAAATAAGGGTAAAAATGCCAAAAAATGAAAGGTGGGGACGTTTTCCATAATAAACCTTAAAGGTAGGGACGTTTTGTGCCAATTATCCTAAATTTATTACTCTTTTATAATTAGTGGTTTTATAAGTACCTATTTCACGTATATTTTTAGCAAATAAAGTTGATGAGTCTAATGAAATATGTCTATAAAAATTATGGGCGGTATAAAATGTGTGATTTAAAATAATTTTTGATCATTTGACCAACTTTTTAAGAAAAAGTAACTTTACCAAACAAACGGCCCTTTTGGTGAAAAAGAAGTGTGCATAAAAATATAGACCCTGGTCATTATTTTGAAAAATTGGAGTTTTGAGTAGTGATTTTTTTGAAAATATGCGATTAAAAAGTAGAAAAAAATTTAAGTTTACGTGCAAAATATTTTCTTGTGTCAATGTGTGGTTAAAAATGAACATGAGAATTAAAGAATTTTGTTTCAAAGGGAGACAAACATGAGCATAAAAGATGGGATCAACTGTTATGATAAAATGTAATTATTTATTTATTTATTATTTTAATACAATCATAAAGCCATGAAGGCAAAGATTTATTTGGATCGTACGCTAAAATAATAGCTAATTTAGCCTATATTTGTCTCCCCTTCACAATAAAACTCTTCAATATTAATACTTATTTTTAACCACGCATTCACATAATAAAATATTTTATAAGTAAATTAAAAAAAAAGATTCATAATTTTTAATTATACATTCTCCAAAAGATCCCTATTCAAGACACCAATTTTTTTAAAATAAGGACCATCAAACATAGCTTAAATCATAGGATACAATATAAAACATTTTTGTCCAATTTACAATTCAAGGCTGTTCATCAATTTTTTCAGAATTTTTAAATCATTCAGTGAGAGTCAATAATCCTTTACAAAAATAATAAAATTTACACTATTAAGAGGCAAAGACCATCAATCGAAAAACAGGTTTGACAATGATTTACACTAGGACGATCAAATCAACTGTTGGGCGAGATATAATATGAATGCAAGAGAGAAAGATGGGATTTAGTTAGAATTTAAATACATATTTTTGGCGAATAATGAATTAACATATAGAGCAATGAAAATGGGCTAGAGCGGCTCATGGATCAAGTTTCAAGCCCAGTACGAGGTTGCTTGATTTAATACGATGCCAAGTTAGTACATGTTGGACCATCTCTATAATAGCAATATATTATTACTGCTAGCATCTGCATTTTATTAGTGTTGTGAAGTATGCATGCAACATTATTGCTAGCATGTCAAAACACTAATTTCACTACTATCAGTACGAATGTCACTTTATTAAAATTACTCTTACCTTGAATTGTGCAAGCATATAATCTACTATGATACATGATAGGCACTCTGCCCATTATATTTCAAAGAAATTTCTCTTAATTATCATTAATTGGAGGAGCAAATGGACCCCAAACTATTATGTATATGTGCTGAGAAAATATTTTATTTTATTTTAGGTTAATTTAGTTCATATTACATAGAAGATGCTGCCAAAATTTCACCAAATCATATTAATTTATATTTTCGAGCTAGAACGTAAGCCGTCACTTATTGGAGCTACTTATATTTTTTGAGACAATACGTAAGACATCGTTACTTGACAACTTATATTTCAAGTCTGGCTCGCGTATAAATATTCGACTTGGATTTAAGAGACTATTGTTATATCTAAAAGTTACGTAGCATACCCATGACGGAGAAGGTTCTATATATGCTGACTTTTGACATCGATTATTCAACTCATTAATGTAAAAATGAAAATGAAAAATATAGTCGTTACGGACCCCCACACAAGAGATAGAAAGTCAAATATAGTGGATTGATGTGATAGATAATGGTGATATTTTTTATTTTAATAGACAAATAATAGGAAACAAACGAGGACTAAATCAAGCAACTTCGTATTGGGTTTAGAACTCGGTCCATTAGCCCCCACTTGACCCATTTCCATTTTTTCTATATATATGTAAATTTATCATTCACCTAGAAAATATATATTCTAACCCTAGCCCAATTTCTTCTCTTTCTTGCAGTCAAATTTTATCTCGTCCAATAGATGCAAACGACCGTAGGACCTTCTTCTTGACTAGTGACCTTCGTCTTCTAACGGTGTGTTCTAGTGCGCATGAAATATTTATGTGGAGAGGAAGTGGCCGGATTCTGTTGGCGCAAAAATTGAGGTTAACAAATTTTATTTACATCAAAATCATTTATTTTCATCAAATGGAATATCTGTAAACTTACAATAAAAAATAAATAAAAATAAAAAATGAAGAAGAAGACAGAAATCAAATGTCGAAGATTTAACTCTGGTAAATTTTCTCTTTCAGTATAAGAACAACACACACGAAATTGTTGATGAACACTTGATTGAGCTAACCTGGATGAAGCAACATCGCCTGCTCCATTCTCCCCAGCACTCAGACTTGCCACTGTCACTACTGAAGAGGAACACTCTGAATCTGTGGTTTAAACTACAAAGCAAAATGTCTTTCGTCTTGTTTTTATAATAGCATTCCTCTGATTAACTGATAATACAACGCTTTCAAATTGCCAACAAGTATTTTTATTTTTTTCGTGTTAGTCACTTAAGTTTAATTTTTGTTTCATTTTAGTCACACTGTTTACGTTAATTTGCAGAGTTAAAAAAAAAAAAATAATCTATGTTTTGCAATGAAAAATTAACAATGAAGGTCTTCAACCTTTGCTTAAGTGAATAATTCAATCTCAACTAAATTATAGTATTTGTTTGGATCTTTAAATTTTCTGTACTATTTTTAAATGAAAACTTGGCCACGTCTCAACATGAACCTCACCTAATTAACTTGCTTTCTGATTCATGCACTAAGAAGAGGAAAGTTGAACAAAAAGTAAGAAAGAACTCAGTGCGAGTTGATGATATTGAAATAACTGCAAGAAGACTTTTGACTTGGGTCGGGGAGGGATTGGGATTGGGATTGCTTTTTTTAGAACTTTAGTTTGTAAAAAGGCTCGAAAGGACTACATAATGACTTTCATTAAGCGATTACTTAACATACGATATTGATGGGGTCAATAATATATACTCAATATGCTAAAAATGAAGTCTGGAGACTCAAATACCCTTAACGAATTGAGTAAGGACCTGATAGTGTTAATTATTACATCTTATTTATGTACCATTTGCTGCACTGGTCCACACGATAAAATATCTACGAGCCAGTGGTTGTAGTTTTGCACGAGGAAGTCAACAGAATTAGAACACGTATGTGATGTTGTTTCCTCCTTCATTTTTTTTTTTTTGGTGACAATCAATTTTTTTTTTTTTTTTTTTTTTTTTTTTTTTTTTTTTTTTTTGGTGACAATCAATTAATCAATTACATCTTGACAAGTAGTTAGAAAATTAGCCAGTAAATAGGATTCCGAGATATATTCATTAAATATAGTCAAGCATTGTATGTGCTATACGTCCAAGGCCACTTGGGTCCCAGACGTCCAAGGCATCATTTGCCCCCCCCCCCCTATAGGTGGGGGGCCTATCGAAGCCCCTGTCTATCCAGGGCTAATCCTGAACAAATATCTTTATTCACAAATATAGTCTTGAGTGTGTACGTAATGAATTCAGATTTATTGTCCCGACTTAATTATTTCCACAGCCATTTTATTACTACAATATTGCATTTAAAATTTGTAATAAAATATTGAAATTTTAATGTTACAATAATTAAAGAAACATTCAAGTCGCAACATCAAATTTGACCACATACACTATGCATTCCCAACTGTGCAAGTGCATTTCAATGTTAGGTATATGCATTGACAAAATCATCTAACGAGAATTTTGTGTTAGTGAAATTGCAATTACAAATAATATTTACAATTAGATTGAGAAGTGATCACACACATGTTTAATCTTCAAAAAATCGATGGCTATTCGGCGGAAATTGAAATCAAATTTTTAGTAAATTTTGATAAAAGTTGATGGAATGTGTGGTTGAAAAGTTTAGGACCCATAAAATAAGTGGTTAAAATTGATTGTTAATTTTGACTTATATTAAAATCTAAATTTTAATTGGTACCAAACAAGGATTAGGAGTCGAGTTATGCATATTAATCTTGCTGACTCAAAATTCAAAGTACACTTCGTGAGTATCATATATATGCTGCACGAGAATGTACGTGTGTTCATAACAACCTGGCAACTAGACACCACTTTGACACATATTTTCACGTTTGATGCGCACTCCTAAGCCATTTCGGCACACCTTCCCACGGGTTTACCTTTTATGGCTGCTACATTAGGGCAAAAACCCCTCTATATATAACTTTACACCACGCCTTTAATTTTCTCCCCATTGCAAAGTGTCTGAATTTTCGCCTTGCCTCATTTTTTTAGAATTAGAATTATAAAATGATTTCTTTCTTAGAGATTGTTGGTTTCGAGTACAAGCCGCTCCTCAATCTTCATGGAGATAGCAGTATTCTTTATAGCCATCTTCATAATATGCGGATATTAAAAGCCGAAGATGGGGATGGAGACGACGACGACGACGATGGTGACTACGACTATGCTCCGGCTGCATAATTGGAAGGTTTTGTGATGGAAAATATGGTTAGACTCCGGTGTCTTAAATAAAATCTTGGTTTTGTGGACACCCTAGTTTTAGACGAACCAAACCCTTGTTTTAGGTTATTTTATATGTGAGGTGTCACTAAGGTAGTATTTGAATGTGCATCTTATGTTGTACAAGGGCGGTGCTACTTGAGTGGGACCACTTAGCCTCTCTTCAACTAGATTAATTAGTTGTACAATGTACTAATATCATTTAAGGATTTTTCCTATCTATGACGGTAAGTTCTTGAACGTCCCCTATTCATACTTGCGAATTTGCAATTCCGTTCCCCTACTTCGCTTTTTCTTGCCTTCAAATGGTGAAAAATTAACCAAGTAGTTGAGAGAAGATAACTAATTACATGATAAGCACAAACACTAAAGTTTGATGGATCGAAGAATCAATATGTTTTTTGGAGTTTTTTATTTCTTCAAGCAACTCGAGTGGTGGACCTCGATCGAGGGATATAGGTTCGCTCGGGGGAGTCGACATGATGTGTCACGGAGCCAACTGATACCAACTGTCACTTCCAAATCAGCATGGTACTTAAAGAAGCTCTATAAATAGGCTTACCCCAAATTGAATTAGATTACTCACCCATTAATATCAACTTTTCTCTAACACACATGTATGCTTCAATTTTTTTACGCACGAAAGAATGATTCCATTGATCTCATTCGAATTACTTGATTTATGCTTCAATTTCTTATAATTTAAAAAAATAAAAATAAATAGAACACTTTTCAAAGACAACGTAAATAGGAAAGAAGAGGATGAGAAATTATTATAACTGGATATGGGAGAATCTCGTTATATATGAAATAAAGAAAATCTTGTAAATGCATTAAAAATTTAAAACACTGACCATCCATTATATCACAAAATTTCTATGAGCATTTCACCCTTTCATTTTTCATGCTAACACATTTTTTCATGGGCGTTCAATATTTAGGCAAACGTTAATTTTTTAGCACTAAAATACGATCACATCAAATCTACCAAATCGCTCTCACCCGCCAAACTATTGTGACAAACAACTAATGGCATTAATTAATGGATAAATATATACGTACAAACTATGATTGACAAAATCTTTCACTACCTCTCACATAATGTGTGGACCCCACATGTATTTAAAAAATGGCGGCTTGTGATCCCCACCCCTATTGTGAGTAGTGAGTAAAGAATTGTGTAAAAAAAGTTTGTACATGTAGCATTATCCTTAATTAATATCAATTCAAATCGAAACATACTACAATGACATAATGATTGACATAATGTCACGTAGCGTCATATTATTGGACTTTTTAAAGCACAATCAATTTTTTTATTCAATCACATCTTATCAACATTTATTCTGTCAAAACATCTATTAACATTTTTCTGTTAAGTGGCTTTACACATTCAAACCCACCTCACCGGAGTCCATACTAGTCAACCACACGCAAATTTGCCCTCTCTTTAATCAAACATCCCTCTCTATTTCTTGCAAACCCGTTTATAAGATCCAAACCCATCGTTCATATCCGTTTTGAGGATAAACATTAAGTCTTTAGCACTAAAATAGAATCACATCAAATCTACTAGATCTCTCTCACCCGCCAAACTATTGTGACTAACAAACTAATGGCATTAATTAATACTAATTCAAATCGAATCATGCTACTATAACATAATGGTTGACATAATTTTTTATATAATGTCGTGTGGCGTCATATTATTTGATTGTTTAAAACACAATCAATTTTTCTATCAATCATATGTTACCAACATTTATTCTGTCAAAATGTCTGTTAACATTTTTCTGTTAAGTGGCTTTACACATTCAAACCCACCTCACCCGAGTCAATACTAGTCAACTACACCCGAATTTTCCCTCTCTTTAATCAAACATCCCTCTTTCCCTTTCCTCCAAAACCGTTTATAAGATCCAAACCCGTCGTTCATATCCGTTTTAAGGATTGCCAAATTGAAATTGTCACATGTGGCCCATTAACCCAGTTGAATTTCTATTATACATTTTGCTCTTCTTAAAGGTATTTATGTAAATGTTGGCCCAGACCAGAGTCAACGAAGTCAAAACCATCCAACAGAAACTCAAGCAAAAAAAGGATAAAACTACTTTAACATAAATATTAGACAGAAAATTTGATATAATTACATATAGTAGTAGATGATTGGATGAAAAAGTCGAAAATATGTCATATTAATTCATTAGGAAATAAAGATTTTAATTCATGTCATCGATACTTTTATTATAAATAAATTATAGTATAGCAAACCGAATTTATTGGCGACGGTGACATGAATATTTATTTATTAGAGGAAATTATAAAAAAAAAATCCATTTTGATATAGTCATTTACAAAAATGTCCATAATTTTTCAATGTCCATTTTTGAAATTATTTGGACGAGAGTACCCCTAAATAACTTCCATGAGAAGTTACATTAAAATGATATTGTCGACTTTTCAAATGTCAATTTCGATATTTGAATCCGATTATATTTCAAAAGTACACATGTTAAATCACAATATTAAATGTTATCGACATTTCAAACGTTGTTCTCATTATATTAAATGTCTAGAATGACATTTTATTCCGAACATAATATTTCTCTACACTTTAAATGTTCTCGACATTTCTGTGTCTATAATTAATTGTGATTTGACATTTATAATATGAAATTATTTATTCTTTCATTGTAAGTAAAATAGAGAATTTGTTATCAAATTTGCCCATTTTTACAGAAATTATTAAAAGTGAATATTTTTAAATTAACATACGTAAAATTGGATTTTTTGCATATGCCCCGAATATTATTACGGAGAACTTGCTCATGAACAATTATTATTAGAATCGATTATCAACACGCAGAGCAGAATAGTTTGTAAACAGGCCAG